GCATCAACTTTGCAGGGGCTGAGGATCTCTGCTCTAGAGCCAGCTGCTCCCGTCCTTCACGCCAGCTCAGCTCTCACCTCCACCCAGCACCTACCATTCCTTCTCGCCTGCTGTTCGTCCTCAGACACCCACAGTCCCGGTCCCCCGCGTGTGGATCTCCAGCGGCACTCTCCACTCTCCGCAGGCTGTAGAAGCCGACAAGGATACACTCACACCTGACTCCTCCGCGCTCTCAGAGGCCAGCCTGGAGCTCCGTGCCCTGGGCAAGGGCGCTCAGACACGGGTCACCTGCGTACCCAGGGCACGCCCTCACCTGGCTCTTCTCCCAGACGTCAGTTCCGAGGAATCAGGAAGCCAGGAAGTTCTCACTTCAGAGAGGGCCCTGCCAGCCCCTGCCAGCCATGTCTGGAAGAGACTCAGGCGGCACCAGGCCTCTACCAGCTGCAGGAAAGGAGCCAGGAGTAAAAGAGACGAAGCAAACACGGCAAGAAATAAGATTCTGTGTGCAAACAGAGGTCCCCTACAAAAACACTGCAATCAGGAAGGACATGTGGTTGGATGGGCGCTCGACCAGATTTATAAGTGAGTCAGGGCCACTAGTACCCTCACTAGTAACCTCCGCTGCCCCGAGTCCCAGTCCTAGCAGAGCAGAAACTGGGAGTTCGGGGGCAGCCACACCCCGGGGCTGGGCTGGCTCTCAGAGAGGGGCCCGGGCCACCCCTGGGCCGGAGCGCAGACGTGCCAGCCGGTAACTCAGCTTTCCCTGTCCAAGTCCCTGAGCTGTGCAGGAGGCCGAGTGTCCCGCAGGCCTGGGAAACCCAGCATCTAAAGAAACAGGCTCGGTTCTGTCCGGCGGTTGCCCCTCCCTCTGGGTGCTCGGAGCAGGCGCTCCACTGGCCCCAGCTTTACCTGCCTGGAGGCTGAAATGGCAACACGGTCTGTGGAGTCCCGGCTCTGAACCCCTGAGAGCAGGCAAGGGGAGGTGGCGGGCCTCTTGTGAAAGGACTGATTGAAGACAGGTAGGGACGAAAAAGAAGGCGCTCAAAGCTGCAGTCAGAGCCCAAACCCGCAGAGCATTTGGCGCGCACTTCCCAGCCCCGTCAAGTCCTGCGGGGGCATCTGTCACTCCGCCAGCCTGATGGGCCTCACGATTAATAAAGTAGCACCCCCCCCCCACCCCAGCCAGGCCAGGCCCCCCTCCCTCCCCCACTGAAACCTCCGCCCCCACGTGTTGTCATTCACACCCAGTCCTGGGCCTGATGCTGGGAGAGAGGGAGATGAAAGCAGCCTGCTGTCTGCCTCACCTGGATGCTGGCGGCTGCGGCAGAGACAGGGAAGAGCAGAGTCCAGACGGGGAGGGCTGGTGAGGGCCCCTGCTCCCACTCTAGGCTCCAAACTGGCCTCTCAAACTGGAACTCTGAACTAGCCACAGACACAAGCGACATGTGTGCTTTTCAAGTTTCTAGTAGCCACGTTAGAAACACATACCAAGAACTTAGCTCTAATATTACATTTAATCCGATATACCCCAACATTATCATGTTTGGTATTCCAAACATGTAATCAATATAAATAATATCAATGAGATGGATAATTCGCATTCTTTTTATTGGATCAAATCTTTGAAATTCAGTGTGCTTTTGACACTTGCGGAATCTCCCCATCCGACCCAGTCCCCTTTCAGTGCTCGCCTCTGGGGCGGATCTAGAATACTTCAGCACTTTAAGAAAGCACCAATCGATGCCCCAGGCACGAATGTATCGTCTGTGTGTGTGTGTGTGCGCGCGCGTGCTCAGCTGCTGGATCACGTCCAGCTCTTTGCAACCCCATGGACTGTAGCCCACCAGGCTCCTCTGTCCATGGGATTCTCCAGGCAAGAATGCTGGAGTGGGCTGCCATTTCCTTCTCCAGGGGATCTTCCCGACCCAGGTGTTGAACCCTCATCTCCTGCATCTTGGCAAGTGGATTCTTTGCCACTGTATCTGGAAAGCCCAAGGTATCATATATATAATGGCACTAAAATAGCACCTGAAATCATGAGATGGGAATTTTTTGATTTACTAGAATTTCCCCACAAGGGGCGCACGTACCACGTGCGGTTGGGAGAAACCCTTTGGGAAGCTCACTGGGGCAAGAATGCAGGTAGGACTTGGAGGTGGGACAGTTGCACAGAGAATGTTGGGGTGATTATAGGTGGAGGCCTGAGCTCCAGCCTTTCAGGGGCGCCCCTGACACCTGAAACCAAAACGAACCACGAGAGGGGACTCAGGGAGATGGGCCTGCGGTGACGCCTTTATTATTGGAAAAATCGTAACAGCGTCAGTGGCTAGCGTCAGAGAGCACTGAGGAAATTGTGAGCCACCCCCGTGAAAGGACATTTTGTCATGACTCAGATACTATTTATTTTATATTAGGATATCCCTAATATAGAACTGTGAGGTAGGAGAGAAAAGCAGGACTATGGAATCGCTTGGAAGAGCTGATCTATATTTAATAAGTGCACAGGAAAAAAAATGTGACAAAATTGCCATTGGTTTTACTAGGTAGCAGCATTATGGGTGCTTTTTCTGGACTTTCCAATGCTTTTCCGATAAACATGTGTTACTTTGGATCTAGAAAGAAGAGCTAGAATGAAAAAAAATCCGATGACTCACTTGCCAGAATTCCCCTACTTATGTAACTACGCAGTCACACGTGGATGTTGGCAGTGTGTGTGTGTGTGTGTGTGCAGGCAGGCAAGTGTGTTCACGGGCATATATGTGTCTTTCTGAGCCTGGTCCCCACTAACAGTAGATCTGGCAAGAGGCAGCTTCTTCCATTGGAACATAATAGTTTCCTTGGATTCTGTTAATTGGCTGAAATAACCTTTCTGTGGCCATTCTGGATTCACTTCTAATCCCCAGATCCCCAAGTGCTTGTTCAGAGACTGCGTCTTTGGTGAATGCTTCCAGCGAAGTGTAGAATGGCTTCCCCCTGCATTTTATGTGTAAATAAGACAACAAATCACCTCTGATCTCCATGCCCTCAATACAGAGGCAAAGAACGCGAGATGATTTGCAGCAGAACCTGAAGCCGCATCGCTGCCCTTGCATCTCATCACAGCGCGCTGAGTTCACAGCTGTTCAGAGGGTCATGTTCCAACTGCCTGATTCATGTTAGAGGGGAAGGGGAGAAAGACAGCTGACAGTAAATTAAGAGCAGAAATTTTAAACTATTCAGGAAAAAAATCCCCAAGTGATGATTAAAAGAGACTTGAATCCTTAAATATTTATAGTCTCAACCTATTCGGCTAAGAGACATATGCTCAGAAGACGAGTTTAGAAAACAAAATCATATATTGTGGGAACTCTTTTTTCCCCAGCAATATGGCAGTTATGGCAACCCATAAGAAAAGCACATCCTAGTGCTTTGAAACGATGGGTTAGTTCTCTGGGCAAATGCTCCCAGTGAAAAACAGTTAAAAACCTGGCTTAAAAGAACACTGGGACATGAGTGAATAAAGAAGATGTGGTATTTTATATCCACATATGTCCACACACACACACACGATGGAATATTATTCATCCATTAAAAAAAAAGAAATCTTGCCATTTGCAACAACATGGAAGGACATCGAGGGCCTTACGCTGAGTGAAATAAGTCCGACGCGCTTCCGTCGCTCCGCACACCACCTGTAGCAACCAGCTCCTCTGTCCATGGGACTCTCCAGGCAGGAGTACCGGAGTGGGTTGCCGTTTCCTTCTCCAGGGGTCCTTCCTGACTGAGGGATGGAGCCCTCCTCTCTTGTGTCTCCTGCATTGGCAGGCGGATTCTTTACCACCAGCATCACCTGGGAAGCCAAATAAGTCAGACGGAGAAAGACAAATGCTGCGTGCCCTCATGTGTGAAACCTTGGAAAACCGCGAAGACAGAGCTCATCGACAGACGGATCAGTGATTCCAGAGGCAGAGGAAGGAGGGAGGGGGCGACAGGCGCGTGAAGGGCCAGAAGGTGCAAATTTCCTGGAACAGAATAAGTAAATCTTGGGCTATAATGCACAGCATGGAGACTATACTAATAATACTGTATTACAGTCTTGAAAGTTGCTTGGAGAGTAAATTTTAAAAGTTCCCTTGAGTAGGAAATGGCAACCCACTCCAGTATTCTTGCCTGGAAAGTTCTTTGGACAGAGGAGCCTGGTGGGCTACAGTCCATGGGGTCCCAAAGAGTCAGACACGGCTGAGCACAAATAAGGGCCCACCCTAAATCCAGGGTGACCTCATCTCAAAGTCCACAATCACACATGCAAGGATTGTTTCCAAATAAGATCACCTTTGCTGGCTATGGGGGTTACCACTTAGGCATACCTTTGGGGACACTATTAAACCTTCTGCAATCTGGTAAAAATAAATACATAAATGTCCTCAACACAAGAAAAAAGTGTTTCTTTAACTATGTGTGAGTATGGACGCTAACTGGACTTATTTTTGTAATCACTTCTCAATGAATATAAATATTCAATCATTACGTTGCATACCTGAAACTAACATGTTACATATCAATTATAACTCAAAAAAATGAAAAAAAAAACACAAAGAAACTAGAAAAGAATAAGAGATTAAATACAAATAAGATAGAAGGGAGGAAATAATAAAGGTAAGAGCAGGAGGCAATGACCTAGAAAACAAATGAGCAGGAGAGAAAACCCACAAAGTCAAAGGTTGGTTCTTTGGAAAGACTCCTAGTGGCTCAGTGGTGAAGAATCCCCCTGCAAGGCAAGAGACGCCTGTTCGTTGCCTGGGTTGGGACGATCCCCTGGAGAAGGAAACGACAACCCACTCCAGTATTCTTGCCTGGGAAATCCCATGGACAGAGGAGCCTGGTGGGCTACAGTCCATGGGATCACAAAAGAGTCGAACATGACATAGCAACTAAACAATAGTGAAATTGAAACCCCCCCCCCAGTCACACTTATCGAGAATAAGAGGAAAGATGAAGGAAGAGACTATAAATGGACAATGTCAAGATTCAATATGTATTAAAAAGACCAGGATATTATAAACAATTTTATGCCAATACATTTGCTACATAGATGAAATGGGAAAATCTCTTGAAAAGCACAACTTACTAAAATTGTCATCAAAAAATAGAAAAGGCCCTCTAGATCTGTAAAAGTAACTGAATCCATAATTAAAAACCTTTCCACAAAGAGAAGTCTAGTCCAAGCAAGACTGCTTGTAAATTCCCCCATATCTCTCTTATACAAACTCTTTTAGAAAACAGGTAACACGGGAATACATTCCAACTTGTTTTACAAGGCCCTGATACCATGATTTGTCAAAGATATAACAAGAAAGTAAAATTATAGGCCAATTTCTGTCAGACTAAGATGTAAAAATTCAAAACTGAAGAGTAACAAATCAAACCCAGCAAGTATGGTTTATTCCAGGAAGGCAAGATTGATTTAACATTCAAAAATCAGTCAATGCAATTCACCACATTAACAGAATGAGGGACACACATAATCATCTCAATAAAGTCAGAAAACGTATTTGATAAAATTTCATATTCACTTATAATAAAAATTTAAAAGAACTTAGCAAACTAGACCCAGAAGAATATTTCCTTAATCTGGTAAAGAGAAAATTCAAAAGCCTGCCGCCAATAACATGCATAAAATGGAAATGTTGAGCACTTTCCCCCGACCTTCAGACTGAACCAGACAGGAAAGGCCACAATCGTTGCTCCTGTCAACTGTGTCGATAGTATTGGTCTCTGTAAAGTGGCCAGAAATATAGAAGGTATAAAGTTTCTGTAAAATTTAAAAAAAAGGTAAAATAATGACTGTGTACATACAATGCTCAAAACCATCCACAAACTCTCAGAATCAATGGTTGAATTTAGCAAGGCTATTTCATACATGGTTAATATACAAAAATCAAATCAGGTATTCTAGAAGGTGGCTCAAAGTCTAGCTAACCTTGACAACTTACTTTCTCCATCCAACTGATGTTAGTGGAGATGGGAATCTGGCTGGAGCCACCTCCACGTTCATTGCAGGAGGATGAGGGGGTGCCCCCCAAAGGGGGAGCAGGTCCTTTGTCTAGAGAAGCAAGTCTTTGGGGAGTTGTTGGTTATGAACAGAAGACCCGAGGGGCTGGCTGCAATGGGGAGTTCTGGTAAGAAAACTGAAGTTCTGTGTATCGTAATAGGAAAGGCTAGTCCCTGAGAAGTGGATAATGATCTACTTTTGAATACCTTTCAGCTCCTTCTGGAAAAAGATCAAGGACATAGAAAGGACCCTGGCTCTAAGTGGACCCCAGAAATGTGCTGAGAGGCAGGGCCTGAGGAGTATTTTGAACTGTTTCCTAATTTGCATCTTAATTCCTCTCTAGTAACCACCAGAGGTTTCAGCAAATGTTTATTAGCTGTTAATTAGGGTCTGGTTTATTTTGGCACTTTCTTAGGAAACAAAGGAAGCAGGTGAATTTTCCACAGGAAGACAGGAGGCGGTAAAGACGTGTCGGGAGGAGCCGGGGAGAGGACCCGGCTGCCGGCGTGGACAGGACCAACTGGAGACCGGAGACCATAGCTGATAGGCGTTCGCTGGGACTTCTCAGAAATACTTGGGAGGGGACTGAACTTACTGAAACCAAATGTGGGGTGTGGACTTGAGTTTTTCTATTCGGTTAGCAAGAGAATTGTCACCTCTCAGTTATCTGCAGACTTGGGGACATTCAGGTTACATTGAATTACTGTACTGATAATAAGTAACATTCATGGCAAAATAAAACACTATATAGTTTGCAAAGCATTTCCCTGCTTGCTGTATCATTTCATAGATGATTCGTTACATGTAAGTTTCTAAACCTATCCCGATATTTGGAAGAGAATACATTTTCCCTGAAACGGTGCATGTAAAAATATTTAAACAGACCCCAGCACCGTCTTAGAATAGGTTACACAGTTACTCGTTACAATTAGTAAGCAATTTATTCCCTGTACAGTAAAGCCAACCTCCCAACCCATTTGGAATAAGACTTTGACTCCATCCCGAGCTCTTCAGGAGCATCATTTTTTAGGAGTCTATTGACACTCCCTTGTGGCCCAGCCAGACGGCCTCTGAGCCTCCTCCTCTCAGCTGTCAGGACGCGTGGAAATGGGGTAGAGAGGATAAAAAAGAGCCTCCGAAAGACTCGTGGGTCCAATGTAGTAAATACTCTGCTTCCACCGCAAGAGCTAACCTGAAAAGACTGCGTCGGAGATGGATCAGAGACAGTAGGAAATGGTGTCTGCTCTATCCGGGAATAACCTCATCTGCCTTTTCTTCCCCTAAACCAGTGTCACCAACCTTTTTGGCACCAGGGTCCAGTATCTTGGAAGACCATTTTTCCATGAGACCGGGGAGCAAAGGATGGTTTCAGGATGGTTTCAGGATGATTGAAGCACAGGACATTTACTGGGCACTTGATTTCTATTATTACTACATTAGCTCCACCTCAGATCATCAGGTGTTAGATCGCAGAGGCTGTGGACCCCTGACCTAAACGGAAGCTAATCCATCAGTCCTGTCTTCCTCAACCAAGCGTTGACCTCATATTTCCAGGTGGCGCTAGTGGTGAAGAACCCGCCTGCCAAAATGCAGCAGGCATAAGAGATGTGGGTTGGATCCCTGGGTTGGGAAGATCCCCTGGAGGAGGGCATGGCAATCCACTTCAGTATTCTTGCCTGGAGAATCCCCATAGACAGATGAGCCTGGCGGGCTACAGTCCGTGGGGTCGCAAAGAGTGGGACATGACTGATAGAGCATGCACACACATGCATTAGCTACATTAACGACAAAAGCACTTACAAAGTTCTGCCGACGCAGCCACAGCAAGCCAGCAAGAAGCTCCGCACTATGAACAGGAGATCGGGCCGCAGAAAATGCTTCTGGAGGATAAGGCTAGTTCCACAGTATCATTTTTTTAAGTTAAAAACAAGACTGCTTTATACTAATATAGAAAGAACATGCTTCCAAAACTTGCTTTATTCATTAATAAAAAAAAAAAACTGGCAGAATTGCAAAGCTTAGTCAAAGAGAACTGGAAAGACTGACTCCTGAACAATATAAAGCTATAATAAGATTGTTAAGTTAGACATAAAACAGATTTTTCTATCTGCAGGGCAATGAAACCAAAACTTCTGTCACTATAGTTTCTAAAGAAGAAAAAAAAAATGTATCCCTCCTGGACACACAAATCATTTCCAGCCTATAAATCTCCATGTCGACATCTAATTTCTAACATCTGTTGTTATTGTTGTTGTTGTTGTTGAGTCACTAAGTCATGTCTGGTTCTTTTGCGACCCCATGGACTGTAGCCCGCCAGGCTCCTCTGTCCATGTGATTTCCCAGAGAAGAATACTGGAGTGGGTTGCCTTTCCCTTCCCCAGGGGATCTTCCCAACCCAGGAATCAAACCCATGTCTCCTGTATTGCAGGCAGATTCTCTACCACTGAGCCACCTCGGAAGTGTTTCTAACACCTAACCAATCATAGAAAGTAAGTGAGACAGTGGATGACTCCCTTTAGACGATGCTTGAAAATGACGATAAAAGGACACAGTCATCCTTTTACTTATCCAATTTTGGGGTATTTTTTCTTAAGACTTAGCATACGTAGGACGAAGTATTATTTTATTAATAAACTTCAAGTGCATGGCTGTAAGAATTTAGCCCTTTCACTGACATATTGCAGCAAGTTGCTCTGGCATTTCTGTACTTACTGGTGTGTTTGTTTAAAATGACTGATTTCTACAACAAGCACAGAGACCCCAGGAGGAAGGATCTTCACGGAACATCTGAACTGCCTTGCTTTGCTATCACGACGTCTTCAAGGATCTGCTGGAAGGTGCACAAGACTCAGAGCATTCAGACTTTCCCCTTAACCAGTCAAATTTAAACAACTTGATGGCCATGTCTTTCAAGAAAAATACAGAAATAAACCTTCAAGAAAAAAGGCCAGGCCAACTCAGAAGGGGGAAAAAAAACCCTCGTCCTTGGGAGGAACAGTTAGTTCACTTGACTTTTTCTGAGAACTCTGGCCTTGGGGCGGCCTCGGGAGGTGTGCCCACGCACGCTGGGCCGTTATGATGCTCCCGGGGAAGTGTCATGACACACACAGCGGGGGTCTCTCCCCCTCAGACCCCGAGCCAGAAGGGGCCCTAATGCCGCCTGCTGCCCACACAGCTCCCCAGGGAAGGAGAGAGACTAGGTCTGCAGCCATAGCGTCTTGCAGGGATGTCTGGAGCCCAGCAAAGGCTGCTGTGAAAACCAACAAATGAAAACTTGGCGCTCGGAGACTGCTTCGTGTCCAGGCTGGTTTGGAATCTTGCATCAGAGGCCACAAATGCTAACAAGTGTTGGGACTGGTGGTCACTTCACCTGAACAGATGTCCTGAGCCCTGTGGGGGCTGTGGGGGCTGGAGACCCCCTCTTCCCTTGGCAGTAGGGAATTGCTACCCAGGGCCTCTCCCTGTGACCACGTGGGAACAGTGGCCTGGTGTTGCCAAAGCTTCTGGTGTTTTTTAAGATGGAAATTCAATGTGTGTGTGCAATCTCCTGGTTTCAGCTTTGATTCCTTTTTTTTTTCCCCTTAATGTTAAAGAAAAGCGAAGAAAACTCACCTCTGAGCCAGGAGGTGGTGCTCTCTGCAGGGATGGTTCCCTTTGTCTCAGAACCAGCATCCCCAGTGGTCCCCAAACGCCCTGCTTCCAGACCATCTGGTTCCCATCCCCGGTACCTCGTCGGCAGGATACTTTTCTGTCTTGCTTCTTTGGGTGGAAGGCGCTCAGGCAAAGTTTTTTAGTATAAATTTATTCATTCACTTTTATTTTCCGGCTGTGCTGGGTCTCTGCTGCTGCCCAGCTCTCTCACGTGGCTCTGAGGGCGTCTGCTCTCCAGCTGTGACGCACTGGCTTCCATCGCGGGCCGGAGGGTGCTTGGGCCTCCGTCGTTCAGCACCCGGGCTCAGCAGCTGCGGCTCCTGGACTCTAGCGCACAGGCGTCAGGAGCCGTGGCTCAGGGCTTTAGCTGCTCCGAGGCATGGGGGATCTTCCCGGAAGAGGGATTGAAGCTGTGTGCCCTGCACTGGCAGGCAGATTCTCTAGCACTGAGCCACCAGAGAGGCCATCAGCAAACTTTTGATCAGTCTCTCCTAAGGTTTGCCTTTCAAATCATCTCTCTTTGCTTGATCTCCTGCAGCCTTTGGAGAAGTAATGTTTTACCTCTGGATTTGACCTTGGCGTCCAAAGAACACACCCTAATTTGGGCTGGCCTCCCACTACTGCTTGTATGAACAAAGATTCTGGGCTAGTGTGTGTGTGTGTGAGAGAGAGGGAGAGACAGAAAGAGAGAGAGGCGGGGTGTTGGGGGGCTGGGGCTCTGGAGGGATCAGTAATAAGAATGTTGAGTTGAGTTCAGAGAAATGGGTTTGTTCCAAAACACAGGCTGGGATATGAATAGCATGGGACACTGAGGATTTGAACCTGACAAATTACGACTGTTTTCTTAGCCACATTGCATGATCCTTACTGGCTCTCAGCCCCGGCCGCGCATGACGGCTCAGGGAGCCTTTATTTATAACATAGAAATCATTGGGCACCACCCCCAAAATTCTGATTCAACTTGTCTGGACTATATGACTCGGCTTCAGTGCTTTTTAAAAGTTCTCCACTGACAATAACACGCAACAGGGTTACGAACCACGGGCGGGGGAAAGCCCCTGAGCCTTGCCAGCTGAAGACTGGCGCTCACCCTCAGCCTCTGTAAGGATCAGGTCACAAGGTGCTGAGACCGCTGGCCTTCAACATGTCCTGAAAGGAATTTGGGGCAGAGATCAGGAGCGAGTCACCCTGTGCTCCAGGGAAAACTGGCAGAACAGGCCCTCAGATAGTTGTATGTTTTCAGGAGATGCTTTTAAGAGCCCAGTTTCTTGCATCTCCTCATATCTAGAAAAGCGCTAAGATCACTGATGGAGACCCCTGCTCCTGTGACCAGCAGCCACCTTCTGCCAAAATGTGTGCTTGCCTGTACCCACCCCCTCTTCACCAGAGTCGTGTACAACAACTGATCTTTCCCCTACCTTCTGGAGCACTTTGCCAGAACTATCCGAAACGCTGTGTCCTTGGCTAGAGTCCTCGCTTTGCCCCAGAGGAAACAGCATGCTGGTTCAGAAAGCAGATTTTAAAGCCAGTTTCAAAGCGAGCTTTAGTTCTGCCTTCGTCATGGCTCTGTGAACTCGGCCAACATGCCTGGGATATCTGAGGCTCACTCAGTCATGGAAACACAGGGACGGGTGCAGACTTCATGAGGCTGTGTGAAATGAAGCACTGTTGGCAAAGTGCTTAGTAAGTGTACAGTGAATTACGGCTGCTGTTATTATCAGCAGGGGTGAGGGAGAATTTGCTGACCGTTCATTATTTAACAGTATTTTAAATAATCTTGTCCTTGAAAAATAACATGCTAACCATCCACATAAAATCTGACTCCGTAAAATGTGTGCTTTCTAAAAATATTGTCTTGACAAACCATTTTGACAATGACAGAGACTGCAGTTCCACAACTCCTTCAAGAGTTGTGACACGTGGACCCTGAGAAGAATAAGCCCTTCCCACTCACGCTAACATGTGCTGGGAAGTAATAGAAGATGAAATGTTCTTGGCTATTATATACACGGCACGCTATTGAGCTGTCCTAGCAATAACCCAAGTGCAAATTCAAATAATAGTGAAATGCCTTTGTGGTTTATCAAACTGGCAAAAATTTTTTTTCAACCGCAGCACAAAGAAAATTTGAATTTTATGCACTTGTGATATGATAGCAAATTGGTGTGCAATTCTTACAGAAAAATTTAGTCATGTTTATCAAAAGCCTTAAAAATACAGATATACTTCGGTTCAATGATTTCACTTCTAGGGATTAATCCTAAAGGAAAAGTATTCAGAGATCCATGAAGTTTCACATACAATCATCTTTATTACAATGCTATTTACAATAGTAGGAAGGTTGAAAAACAACTTAAATGCCAATTACAATTTCAGTAAATTATGATGCATCTCTATGACTAAGTACCATCCATTATTTCTAAACCAAGCTTTCCAAGGTTACCAAATGGCAAAGGAAAATGCCCACCAAACACTGTAAGTAATACACACACATCCAAATAGAAAAAAAAATCGGGTAAAAATCCAGAATGTTGATAATGATTATCTTTGGGTGATGGAATTGAGAGACTTCTGCATTTTTCCAATTTTTCTGAAATAAATTGACATGACTGTCTTCATTAGCATGTTCTGTAATCTCTCACCCCCTCCATTTAATATTTAATCCGTTTTATGCAAAGCTGAGAATTACAAGAGCGGAGGCAAGAGTGTGTGTGTATGTGTGTGTGTCTGTGTGTGTATGTGTGTCTATATGTGTGTATGTGTGTGTGTGTGTCTGTATCTGTGTGTGTGTCTGTGTATGTGTGTGTATGTGTGTCTGTATCTGTGTGTGTGTGTCTGTGTATGTGTGTGTGTGTGTCTGTATGTGTGTGTGTGTCTGTGTCTGTGTGTGTATGTGTGTGTATGTATGTGTGTGTCTGTGTGTGTGTATGTATGTGTGTGTATGTGTGTATGTCTGTGTGTGTGTGTCTGTCTGTCTGTCTGTGTGTGTGTATGTATGTGTGTGTCTGTGTGTCTGTATGTGTGTATGTGTTTGTATGTGTGTATGTGTGTTTGTATGTGTGTGTGTGTTTGTATGTATGTGTGTCTGTATGTGTGTCTGTCTGTCTGTCTGTGTCTCTGTGTGTGTGTGTGTGTATGTGTGTTTGTATGTGTGTGTGTGTCTGTATGTATGTGTGTATGTGTGTGTGTGTGCCTGTGTGTCTCTGTGTGTCTGTCTGTATGTGTGTATGTGTTTGTATGTGTGTGTGTGTCTGTATGTATGTGTGTATGTGTGTGTGTGTCTNTTTGTATGTGTGTGTGTGTGTATGTATGTGTGTCTGTGTGTGTGTGTGTCTGTCTGTGTGTGTTGCAGAACCTGGAGTGGGAAAGTGCTGGGAACAGGGTCTCCCAGTGGTTCTATAACTGGGCTGCACCTTACGATCACCTGGGGGAAATCCATAAATCCCGGTGCACGGGCTCCTCCGCCTTCCCTGAGCCGAGTGGATCAGAGTCTCTGCGTGCAGCAGGCAGCAGTGCTTCTTAAAGCCCCCCGAGTGACCCACACTTGCAGCCCGTGTTGTAAACCGCAGTCGTGTCTCCCAAGCCATCCAGCCTTCTTTGGGATTGTCACCAACACTATAAACCCATGCCTTACCACCTTCCATACCTGCTTGAGAACTTCTCTTTGGACGGAGTTGAGAACCAGGGTGACAGACTGAGCTCCTTTCATTCACCCTGGAATGGCTTTGTTTTTCTTGCTGCTTATTTTAATACATCATAGAGCAGCCAGGTGAGAACAGATTGGCCTCCTAAAGTAATTTGATTGGCCCTGAAGCGAGAGTCACACGTGCGTTTTTACCCAGTGATGCAGCCCTGATCTTGTGTACCTTACTGTGCCCTTCTTTGGGGCGACCGTCTGTGTGCATCGGGCTGCAAACCCCTGGGGGCGGGCTCCCATCTGAAACCTGACCCTTCCCAGGCCTTTGCATCATGCCTTGCACACAGTAGGTGCTCTATGTATGGCCTGCCACATTTCTAGGGCCTTTCACTTCCACCAAACAGAAACATTTTAAATGTTAACATGCTTTTCCACTGCCTCTGTATTTTGTCCACATTTCTGGAGCAATCCTGAGACAAACGTCTCCTCCGCCTCGTGCGGTTTTTACCACACTCTGCTTGACACAACGCCTCTCGAGATGCTCCCTCTGGGCTTGGTTTCCGTGGAAATCTGTCTCTGGGGGAGACAAGTGTTTCTGCCAAAGGTGAACCGTCAAGGCTCCTTGCCTCTGTGTGAAGTCACCCAAGGACACGGAGTTGGGCTGGAGTGGCCCCAGCCCCCGGGGAAGCTGACACGCTCCATGCCTGTCAACCCTGCACACTCAGCCCAGGACAGAAGCAGACTAACAGGCTCACCTCGTCACCGGGAATCGAGCCTGCAACTTTTGCCTTTGCGGGAGGGAAGATGGGAAGCGGAGGCTGGAGAAGACAGCCCTGGCCCGCCCCAAGGCGAGACAGGTGGGGCTGTTGCTCAGAGCCAAGGCTGGGGTGCAGTTCTAGCCATGTCCACAAGGTGTCACAGTCATTCTATAGAACAGGGGTCCCCCACCGCTAGGATCTAAGGCCTGACGGTCTGAGGAGAAGCTGGTGTAGTAACAATAATAGTAGAAATGACATGCACAGCACATGGAATCTTCTTGAACATCTGGAAACCATCCCCCACCCTGGTCCGTGGAAAAATTGTCTTCCACGAAACCAGTCCGTGGTACCAAACATGTTGAGGACCGTTGCTGTAAAGGTTATTCCTCATCATCTTCATGAGAAAAAACTTCACGAGTGCGCAGTCTTCCAAGATGCAAGGAGGCTCAGAAAACCCAGGGGTGTTGGCATGGAGAAGGGAGCTGCGACAGCAGGGACAGAGGCCACGCAGACGGAGCCCCCAGCCCACCTAAAGCACACCTACGGTTGGTTCAGAAGGACCCAGGTTTAAGATGCAGTGCCAAAGATGCACCTGGAATTCACTGCTGACAGGAACGGTGACTGGTAGACATATTATCACAGCTGTCTTAATGTTTAGATGCTTTCATCTGTGGTTTTTTAGATATGCATAAATCCTTAAAACTAACTCCCCAACCTAATAACTAATTCCTTTTCACCCAGGCAATCAAGAACATTTGGAAAGAAACTGTCAGAGGAGGCAGGGACGAAACCACGTGCCCAGCTGCATTTCAGGATTCTCAGAGATCATCCCAGACCACAGCAGAAACACCCATCTCTGAGCTCTCCTAGTTGCTTTGACCACAGCAGCAAACTTTTCGATAAACCACTCTGATTACACAGAGATATTTCCCTCTGAAACCACTTCATGAATACGTATGCGCTTCTACCTAACTTTACACGTGTCACATGCAAGCTACTGAGGAATCGAAGATAAGTCATATTGAGGACCTCCTTTCCAGGAACTCAAAATCTAGGTCTTGAGACAGTTTTATAACCAAAGATGCTGGTGATGGTGGGGCCATCAGCTACTGGAGTGAGATATCTACCCCTCCCCCGGAGGGGGAGACATGCTGGGGACCTTGAGCACTAGTTATGAGTAGTGTCTGCTCCCAAACAAGAAACTACAAGCAATGCCCCTAATTTGGGGAAACATCCTAGGAGGGAAGAACACTTGTCTG